TATGGAAAATGGCTGGCCACATTCCATGGTAATGTGTGTCTCTTGGGAAGGTTTGGGAGTGAAAGATTGGTTCAGAAAATTGCCAAATTGCATTGTAGAGCCAGGTGAAAGCTGTTAAAAATCTTTCATTTCCATTAGTAGTGTGGAAACTCACACCACATTTAGTCAGTGCAGCTGGTGCTTGGAACTGGTGCTGGTGATGCCTTGTGCAGGCTGCCCTAAGCAGAGGCTGGGCAGAGTCCCAGAATAAAGCAGGGATTTATTAAAGGATCTCCTCCATGGATCCACCTTGGGCAGCACCAGAGCCCAGCCAGGGCTGCACCCAAATGACCCAAAATGGTCCCAAAATGCACGAGCGCTCCCGGGGCTCTCCCTGGGATCAGTTCTGCTCCATTGGCACCTTGGAGTTCATTGTCCCATTCCAGCTCCAGCCCATCAGTCCCACCCTGCTTGTTTTTCTCTCTCCAGCCCACGCTGTTTGTGCTCCTGGGCTGAGGTTTGGATCATTTGTCCTTGGTGCCCAGCTGGAGCAGGAATTGTTTTGTCTCTGCTCTGTGAGGAGAGCTCACCATCCCATAATGTGAAACCCAGACCCACACACTGAAGCAGCACAGGATCTGAGAAACAGCTGAAACCTGGGGCATTGCTGGCTCCCAGAATGATCAGATTTTGGTGGGCTGTGCTTGCAGGCTGGCAGGTTTGGGCAGTTAACCTACGTCAGGGTGTACCAGGGGATGCTGAAGAAGTCGGATTACATCTACAACACCCGCACGGGGAAGAGGGTCAGGGTGCAGAGACTGGTCCGGATGCACTCGGACAACATGGAGGTGAGTGGGTCCCTGGGATGGGCTGCCAGCCCCGGGTCAGCCTGGGTGATGATCCTGAAGCACAGGATGGTCTTTGCTTCCTAACAGTTTTCCTTGTTTGATCCTGAATTGATCCAAGCTGAGCCCTCCCTTTTGTCCTTTGAATAAGGAAGGAGATTTGCAGGGCTTTTTATCCAAGCTGGAAGTTTTTAAGGAGCTCAGTGTCAAGCTTTAAAACACGGTGTTTATGGATCTTCTGTAATCCAGGTGGAGTTTGGATGTGAGGGAAAGACAGAATCAATCCTGGAATGGTTTGGGATGGATCATCCAGCCACAAGGGCAGGGACACCTTCCACTGTCCCAGGGTGATCCAAGCCCTGTCTAGCCTGGCCTTGGACACCTGCAGGCATCCAGGGGCAGCCACAGCTGCTCTTAGCCCATTGCTGTCTGAAGAGGACTTTTCCTTCCCTCAGGATGTAAATGAAGTTTATGCTGGGGACATCTGTGCCCTGTTTGGGATCGACTGTGCCAGCGGGGACACGTTCACGGATAAAACCAGCACTGACATCTCCATGGTGAGCCCCCCTTGCCCTGGCTGCCTCGGGCACTGCCAGTCACCAGGATTTTGCTGGAATTTATAATCCCCTTTTCCTTGGCCACACAGGAATCCATCCACGTCCCTGATCCTGTCATTTCTGTGGCTATGAAGCCTTCCAACAAGGTAGGAACCTTTGGATCAACCTCTTCTCCCTGAGTTCCCTCCCTTTGCTGCTTTGTGATTTTATGGAGCAGTCTAAGCACTGTTTGAAAGTGTTTTATCCCAATATCCAGGATTTTATCTCTTGCATAACCCAGCGCTGAGCTGGATGCTGTCACTCAGCCAGAAACATGAACTTGAAATAAATAATTAACACAGAAATGCTCAGCAGTTGATGGGAAAACTTGTGGCTTTTTTCTTGGAATGACTCATGGATGTTAAGTAAATCTTGGCTTTTGTTTCAGAATGACCTGGATAAATTTTCCAAAGGCCTGGGCCGCTTCACCAGGGAAGATCCCACCTTCAGGACCCACTTTGATGAGGAGAGCAAGGAGACCATTGTCTCTGGCATGGGGGAGCTGCACCTGGAAATCTATGCCCAGGTAATTTGGGAAGCACATTCCACGGACTCTGCTTTTGCCTGCTTTTCCCATCTCCTCTTGCTCCTTCCAGCTGCTTAGGGAAAAGTTGAGCTTTTAAGTCAACATTTGAAGGTTTTTTTTCTCTCCAGTGGTTCCATTCTGAAGGCTTCTAAAAGGAGATTTTGCTTAGAATATTTTTAGGATTTGGTTCAAATCCATAAAAGATGTATTAAACACTACACTTTGCTCTAGCAGCCTTTGTTTATAATAATTAATATCCAATTATAATTAATTTCTACAGAAAAAATCCTCTCTTTCTGTGGTTTTAAATGTATTATTCCCTAATAATAGCTGGTGCAGGGAGAAAGGAGTGGTTACAGGGATTTGTTTCTTTCCAGCTGATGTCTATATTTTAATCTTAACACAAACAGATGTGTCTTAAATATTGACAGAATGAAGAAAAAGTGATTTTTGCCTTGAAAAACCAGAATTTTAATAACATAATTCATGCTGTTTCCTCTCCCTGCATCTGAAGCTGCAGGTCTTAAAGAAGTTGATGGGGAATAATTTGTTAATTAAAAAAAATTACAGAAAGCCCCAAAAATCAATCAAACCCCCAACCAAATAAGTGATTAATCCTGATAAAGTTACTAAATAATTCCCAGTGGTATAACCCTAATCACTGTGGGTTTTTTCCTGCAGAGAATGGAGAGGGAATATGGTTGTCCTTGCACCATGGGGAAGCCCAAAGTTGCCTTCAGGGAGAACATCTCTGCCCCTGTGCCGTGAGTATTCCTGCTGGGAATTGTTGCATTCATCCCCTTGGAGGCAGAGGAAATCCCTTTGGAATTCTGGGATCAGAAACACCCAGGAAGGTTTCATTTAATGTCTTGTACCGTGGTCCCCACTCTGTCACCTGCTCCTCCCAGCTGTGGGAGCTCTCAGCTGCTCCCAGGGGTGCTCAGGTGTTCCCAGATGCTCTGATGTTTCCAGGAGTTCACAGAAGGGTGCTCAGGTATTCCCAGGTGTTCCCAGAGG